AATGAATGTATCAATGCCTATGGCGTCTTTTGCAATATTTCAAGGAAATCTATGACACCTCGTCTTGTATTATGTTTTTAATTCTTTAATTATGCATGTTCTTATGTGCTAGGTGTGAATTTGAATATTAATTATGCGAATAATGTGGTTTTTGACTTTATATCTATTGTTCGTAGGAAAATCTGTTATGATTTTTGCTTTGATCTGAAAATCGAAGGCCTTGATGGCGCCAAAAACCGAAATTGGTTAATTTATTGTGATCAACATATTTTTTAGAACCTAATGAGAAGTTTGATTAAAATTTAATCCAGTCTAAATTAATTAGAATAAAATCAATTAAGTTAGGTTATATTTAATTAAACCTTAAACTCTAATTAACTAACTTAATCCCTAATTAGTGTATTACGTTAACCATGTATATATACATATATATGTTAAGTGATGAGATTAGTCCATTTCTTGAACTCAAAATTCTAAAATTTACAAGTCAGAGAGAGAGAGAGAGAGAGACCATTCTAGACAGAGGGTGTAACGCCCTCAAAATAATACATAAATCATACATTTATAACACCCATAAACTTCGGAGAATAAAGTACATTCCCATTCATCAGAGTATTCTTACAAGAGATGTTACATGTTGCAACAAAAGTAAGTGCCCCATAGGCTTACAACTTTCCAAGTAAACACTTCGGTTCAACAAAAGTAGAGTACGAACTCTTTACACAAAATAAGCCCTTGGCTTGATATACATGTAATGCGAAAGATAATCACAAAAAAAGATAAGCCTTCAGCTTCTATAACCTCCCAAGCTAAGACCTTAGAAGCGGCATATCACCTGCACCTGAAAATGATGTCCCATATAGGGTGAGCCAATGCCCAGTAGAGATATGCTAACATAATATGAGCAATAACTAAAACATAAGCATTCGATAAATATTAACACTGATCAACCAATTTACAACACAATCCAATTCCATGACAAATATGTCCATGTTCATTTTACTTTCCTTTGCTTAACCAATTTTCAATTCATAAACATGGCTTAGAACATGGCCAAACAATTTAATGAGATTACAACTCATATCAACAATACTTCCATTTCAAATGAGATAACAACTCATATCAACAATACATCCATTTCAAATGAGATAACAACTCATATTAAAACACTTCCATACTTCAATAGAGACACATATTTGTTGTATCAATAGAGTCCATCCCCTATCTCCTCCCAAATAATATCTGGTTTAGGAGTCCATCCCCTATCTCCTCCCAAACCGTGGAGTACAACCCCTATCTCCTCCCACACAATACAATATACAGTGTCTACAACATACAGTGTATTATTAATCAATACACATATTCGATGTATTATTCTAACTGTCATATTCTATGACATATTCAACGTGATTAGTTTCAATTTTCCCTAATCAACATACAGTGTCTACAACAATCAAGACTATCCTCCACCGATAGCCCAAAGCAATTATTTCTAAATAGATAATAAATGCATCAACAGATAAATTATCAATATTTCCAAAGGTGAGTGATTAACTTATCTAACTCCACCATTCATTCTCATAACTCCTTAATCTCATTATTTCCAACTCAATTTCATATTTTCATAACTTTCCAAATTAATTGTACAAATTAATTCATAACAACAAATTAGGGCTTTCCTCCCCCTTTTCTCGACATTGACCCAAAGACTCAAATATTTTCATTAAACATCAATAGCCTCATTTTAAGACCCAAAATACACATGTGTGAGTCAAAAGAACAAAACCCCTCTTTATATATTTTGAAACCCTAACCCCCAAAATTACCCAACTTCAACATTACATCAAAATGACTACAAGTTTATGTCAAAGAGATGAGACGAAATGGAGAAGATGATGAAACTTGAAATGCTCCAAAACCAAAGATTTTCGGATTGAAATGTAGCCCAAGCCAAGCTCTACACTTTATGCAAAGGAACTATGGTAGAAGATCACTCAAACCAAATGATTTCTTAGAGAGAAGGCGATATGTAGTGAGAGAAGCTCTCAAATTAGGTTTTTAGAAAGTTAGACAGAGAGAGAGAGAGAGAGAGAGAGAGTTGAAAAAGTGATTTAAAATAACACAGTCCAGACTTGATATACGTATGACCCGCTCGAGCGGAGAATAGGATGCTCGAGCGTCAAACACAAGAACTGGGCTCGCTCGAGCACAAATATACCCGCTCGAGCTCCAAGACACAACACAAAACTCCACTCGCTCGAGCACAAAGGGACCAGCTCGAGCGTAGATTACACTCCTCCAGTATTTTTACAGACTTCGAACACCCGCTCGAGCACAAGCTACCCGCTCGAGCGCGACCTGCTCGAGCGTAAGGAACGCCGCTCGAGCGTGGAAAATACCTCTGTAGTATATCTGTAAAAGCACAAAATGCTGAAAGTGTGCAAACTCCGCTCGAGCGCAAAAAGGCCCGCTCGAGCGGATCACCAAAAATCTGGGCAACAAGAATAGGAACCAAAGCTCAACCAACCAGTTCAACACACGCCCAAGACATTTCTAAACTCAAACTCAAAGAGCTAAAGGGCGGAAATACAATATCGACAACAACCATCATCCACGGAACCGAGTCTGGAATACAATAAACAAAGGAGGGAAAACCCAAGATCGCTATAGAGGGGAAGCTAAAAACTTGAAGATTAAGTAAGGAGTTTGAAGGATTATGAATCACAACTCAAGAATTTGCTAAATTGAGCTCAATTGAAGACCTTAGGTAAGCTTTTATACCCTAATTCATGAATTTGAGTAATCTATTTAGTGATTACTTAAAGACTATAAGATTAAGTACAAGAATTGAGCTAAGATTGTTGATTTTAGAGTTAATTCATACGTTCATGCATAGTTTTGTTGAGTTTCACCATTTTTGGAGCATAATTCATGTTTAATTCCATGAATTACAAAGTTTTGAAAATGAATTGCATGTTTTTGAAGCTTTGGAAAATAGTAGGGAAACAATTGATGCATGCATGAACATTTGAGTTTGAATTCTTGGGATATTGAGCTTTGATTTTTGCAAATTGGCTTTGTATTCATGTTCTTGGAAGATATTGTAAGTGTTTCCAAAGTTTTGTCAAGACATGCAAGAAATTGATTTGAAATTACAAGCTTTGAAGCTCAACTTTGTTATGGAATCTCCAGAATTTTGCTTCACCGCTCGAGCGAACAATCCATTGCTGGAGTGCACATTTCATGCATCCAACATTTTTCCATACAATTGAAGTTGGCTTAAGTGACCAAGTCACCGCTGGAGTGACTGCCTTTACCTTACACCTTGGCTCGAGCAAACATCGAGCCTAGATTTGGACCATCCAGTACTTTTGCAAACCAAGTGGTTCGCTCGAGCAACCAATGTTGCGCTCGAGCAAAGTGCTCTGTTTCAACATACTTTAAAAATACATATTTTGATCAAATGTACGCAACTTCTCAACTACGCCCCAAAAACAGAGCATCATCACAAAAAAATTATCAATGATCTCCAAATTAGCCTTAACCCAAAAGGCCACTCCTACCTTTGATCAAATCAAATGTACTTTGGAAAATCCTTCTTATTGGTTATTCTATTATAGTTTACAACCAAAAGGTTTGTCACTTCATATTAAGATGCAAGTCATCAAGTAAAAAAAACATAATTCACTACTAAGGAAAAAGAGAAAATTCAAAAAAAATTTAAGAAAAGAGAAAAGAAAATAGTGCAAGGTGAGTAAATCCTAAGACCAAATGCTATCCCAAAAGATTCGGACATTTTCGTCTGTTTGTAAGCACACTGATCTACTTGAAGTAGCTACTAGATAGGTAGTGTTATGCTCATCCCCTCCATTACTGTCATATTCATATCTATATCCAAAGAAAAATGGTTTTAGATATCTTTGATGAAAAAAGTAACACCTGGAGTCCAGAGGTTTAGAAATAAGTAATGTAATGTTAGTACAACAAGGACTACTATGTTATGAATTAAAGAGAGAATTACTAATAGTAGATGAAGAAATATATGTTGGAGTTAATTTTCCAGAAAATCTAAAAGCCACAAGCCTGGTATCCCACATAGTTTGTTCTAATTACATTCTCTCATTTTGATACTGAGCATGCCCCCTTCATAACTACCTGTAGATGAGTATAACTATTAAGGACAATTAATTGAATTATGAATAGAATGTGAAACAATATTTTCTATGGCTGAAACATATATGTATTTTTTCGATTGATTTTAAGCTTTTGTTGTATAATTGCCACTTATTTGTGGTTGAGGTTTTTTGTTTGTTCATTCATGTATACTCTTTGAGTAAGCCCTAATATTTTACTATCTGAAAATATTTCATCATGATACATAATAAAATTGTCTTGGTTTTGTTTTTGAACACCTATAGATTTCAAATAGTATATCAAGATTTATGCATTGTCCTTCCAATTGTTGTACCAAATTTAAACTTGTGTCCTGCAATGATTTAGCCAATTGTGAAACCCAACCCTAAAATCCAAGTGCACATCTGGTGTGAACAAATCAACTTCACTTCATGCAAAAGAAATGACAAAGTTGCAACATTATTGGCCTAAAAAAATGCATGGATAAACTGTTTAGAGGAAGGCGCAGTTGATTGCAACAACATAGGTACAAATGTGTCAGATAGCATTGCCAATAAAAAGAGATTTAAGGTCGCAAGAAATTTTCTACATCTTTACCGATAGCAAGATCCAAGGTTTAAGCATTTTGAGTTTCTTCCTTTTTTAGTACTCCAAAACAATTGACTCAATGAAATGACTGAAGAAAGCTGAAGATGCCGAGCAGAAGGGCTTCAAGGAAGGCGAAGCTGCATACATCCAGCAGTGTGAAGCTGCGAAGGACTTGTTCTTCAAGTGCGGCTGGAGGGGTGCCGTAGAGCAGCTCGGTTGCAGTCCCGACACCGAGGTCTTCAATGCTCCTCAATATTTTATTCCGGCCTCACTGGCAGAGTATGCAGCCATTCTTCAGAAGCAATTCCTTGAAGCGTCTGACGATGACGATGAAGAGAATGAGCCAGCTGACACTCCGGTTGACAATGTTCCAGCTAACCAATCAGTTCGGGCAAAGCCTGTGGTAGAAGATCTGACCATTGAGCAACCTACTGAAACCGAGCTCCAGGCCAAGACCGAGCTCCCAACTCAGACTGTAATTCCGTCTGAAACCGGACTTCGGGTTGATGCCGAGCTGGATGTCGAAATAGATGACCTTTTTACCGGACTAAGATTTCCAGTCCAACCCTTAATTTGTGAATTCCTTAGGCAAACGAGAATATTCCCAACCCAGCTTTCCACCAACTCATACCGCATAATAATGGGCATAGCCGAGCTAAACCGCCAAGCTGGCATTAACCTTGGTTTAGCCGAAATCTTCCACCAGTACTCCATAGGGTCAAAAGAAGATGGCTAGGTTTACTATCTTAGAATACGCCGCCGCCGAGAAAAAATAATAAAAGACACACCGGACAAAGACTTGAATGATGATGACTTTTTCTGGGTGTCTGGCAATTTTGAAGACCAGCAAGCCCAGATCCCTGGCCGAAATATAAACTGGAATAAAAGAGAACCTGGTATAATTACTTCGGTTTTTGGTATGCTTTACTTTATTTCGGTTACCTGCTCCTGAACCGAACTAACAGTTTGTCTTCTTTATGAAGATTCAGCCCATCTTCAATCACTTTACAGCTACCCCAATCTAGGCACTCTCCGCGCCGCACTACGGTATCCAGAACGAAGTTGGGCCAAGCTGTTAAATTTTGAACCGACATACAAATACAGCGGCCGCCGAAAGGCGAGAGTGACCGACTTTCTGCTAGAGGAGGCCCCCGAACTGGACCCAACCTTGCCACAAATTAGACTAATCCCACTGACCGCTGAAGAAGAAATGGCCAAGAGAAACAGAGTCAGGGCCCTCTTGACCGAGACAAACAGGGCCGAGGTACCACCACCAAGCCAAACACAAGAAGCCGTGGTGGCCCTACCATCCCAACAGCCTTCATCATCTCGGGCGAACAAGCGTGCCCGGACTAGCCAAACCGAGCAGCGCCTTGTGGACGAAGATGAGACCATTCTTCCGCCACCAAGCCTTCCACCGAGCCCTCAGCCGGAGCGATCCGACCAATCTAGCACTGCCAAGTGGGCACCCAAGCTCACTTTTCAGAACCGAGATATCCAGGACACCGACTCGGTGGTCGCAGAGAAGGATCACGTACTGGCCTTCAATCTGGCCAAGAGTGTGTGTCTTCCAAAAGACATGGAGCACCACCACAACCAACTGAACACCGAACTGAAGTCCATCCGGTCTTCAATGAAATCAATGATTCTGGTAAGTAGGTTTTTTCGATCTTTCTAATTCTTCCAAGTTTTAGCTCAGTTAAAAAGAAACAATTCTTTTGCAGGTCATTCAGAAAAACAATATCACTCACGAGCGAGTGTTGGAGCTAAGGAAAACAACTAGGCAAGCCATGGCGGAAGCCGAAGCCAAGACTGCCGAACTAAATCAATCCCAACAGAGGACGGCGGAGCTGGAGGCCGAGATAACTCGTCTAACCGGACTAGTTACCTCGGCTGATACCGACAAACAAAGAGCGCTAACCGAGATGAAAGACAAGTATTTGCGGGAACTGGCGAAACTTGAGGGTGTTAAGGACGCCGAAATAAAAGTTTTGAAGAAGAAAGCTGAAGATGCCGAGCTGAAGGGCTTCAAGGCAGGCGAAGCTGCATATATCCAGCAGTGTGAAGCTGCGAAGGACTTGTTCTTCAAGTGCGGCTGGAGGGGTGTCATGGAGCAGCTCGGTTGCGGTCCCAACATAGAGGTCTACAATGCTCCTCAGTATTTTATTCCGGCCTCACTGGCGGAGTATGCAGCCGATCTTCAGAAGCAATTCCTTGAAGCGTCTTGTAACAACCCTCATACTGTTTACCGACTTATGACTGATTGATTATCGATAACCATCGATTACCGTTAAACTGAATTGATTATGACTGATAATTGAACTGATTAAAGTACTGAACTGACTGACTGAAATTGGAAACCGAATTGATTGAGTATATGTTAGTTAAATTCCAAACCCTTACTTCGGCTGAAGAGTACAAAGAGTTGGTTTAATCCAGCCAACCACTCTTCAGCCATATCCTTACTTCGGCTGAAGAGTAATAAAAGTTGGTTTAATCCAGCCAACCACTTCTTCAGCCCAAACCCTTACTTCGGCTGAAGAGTACAAAGAGTTGGTTTAATCCAGCCAACCACTTCTTCAGCCCAAACCCTTACTTCCGCTGAAGAGTACAAAGAGTTGGTTTAATCCCACCAACCACTTCTTCAGCCCAAACCCTTACTTCGGCTGAAGAGTACAAAGAGTTGGTTTAATCCAACCAACCACTCTTCAGCCATATCCTTACTTCGGCTGAAGAGTAATAAAAGTTGGTTTAATCCAGCCAACCACTTCTTCAGCCCAAACCTTTACTTCGGCTGAAGAGTACAAAGAGTTGGTTTAATCCAATCACTTCTTTAGCCCAAACCCTTACTTCGACTGAAGAGTACAAAAAGTTGGTTTAATCCAGCCAACCACTCTTCAGCCATATCCTTACTTCGGCTGAAGAGTAATAAAAGTTGGTTTAATCCAGCCAACCACTTCTTCTGCCCAAACCCTTACTTCGGCTGAAGAGTACAAAGAGTCAGTTTAATCCAGCCAACCACTCTTCAGCCATATCCTTACTTCGGCTGAAGAGTAATAAAAGTTGGTTTAATCCAGCCAACCACTTCTTCAGCCCATAACCTTACTTCGGCTGAAGAGTAATAAAAGTTGGTTTAATCCAGCCAACCACTTCTTCAGCCATACCCTTACTTTGGCTGAAGAGTAACAAAAGTTGGTTTAATCCAGCCAACCACGTCTTCAGCCATACCCTTACTTTGGCTGAAGAGTAACAAAAGTTGGTTTAATCCAGCCAACCACTCTTCAGCCATACCCA